TGGCATGCGGGGGGGGGGGGGGAAACTGCCCTTGTGTCTAGTTGTTCTGGTGTGCAGAGCCCTATAGCCTCGTTTTAGCAAATGTTAGCACAGCAAAAGGGGAAGTCGTCCCATTTACAGCCTAACAGGAGGTGGAGAGGAGAATACAGGAGGGTTTTGCAAGCTCTTTGCAGAGAATTTGAGCCATTTGGTGTTAAAAGTCTCCGCTGTGAAGTGTGGGGAAACTCTACAAATCTTTTCAACACATTTTCAGAAGGTGAGGGACCACCTAACTCAGGGCTCTTCAAATTTGACCGCTTTAAGACTTGTGGACTTCAACTCCCAGAATTCTTCCTCCAGTCCACATTAGCTCAGGAATTATGGGAGTTGAAGTCCACAAGTCTTAAACTTGCCAAGTTTGAAGACCCTTGGTCTAACTGGTGAGAAAGGTTTGGCCTCTGGTTCAAATCATCCAGTTTGAATTCAACCAACATCCGGGGAATTCGACCTGATGCCTGCCAGTAATTTTTGGCCACAAGTCTCATCATCCATCTAGCCGAAAAGATCCAAAAGCCTAGAATCACCGCTTGAAAAATCCACGATGCAAAGTATGCGGATTGAGATTGGAACAAACCTTGTTTATTTAGCATTGCCATGAGGACAACAAGCCTGGATGGTCGGTCCCCTGTTTATCTTTTCAGTGTATCAATGGTGCTTCTAAACTGCTTTTTTAAAAAATAATAATAATAATAATTCTCTGTTCTGGTTTGCATTAGTCATCCTTTCTCTTCTCCCTTCCTGTCATATGGCTGGTCTTTTTCTGGCTTCTGGTTTGGGTGTAAATATAGCACAGCCATCCAATCCCTGAAGCTGTCGCTAATTTTAGCTCCAAGTTCGGGCGTATAATGCTGCATTCTGGCATGAGGGGCAGTCTCGCCCACAAGGCCCAGCACCCTTCTTCAAAAACAGCCTTAAAAATCTGCTTTATTAGAGCCGACAGTCCATATTTTTCATCCACGTCTCCAAGGAAAATTGGTATTTATTTCTTTACTTCTTCGTTTGAATTGTGAAAGCCTCTGGAACGAGTGTTGCTGGAAGTGGATTTATTCTACCCTGCCCAGGCTCCCTTTGGGGGAGATCGGCAGCCATGTAAATTTGAGAAGTAAAAACAGAAGTAGTAGGAAATTAAAGCAAGCTTGCTGGGAAATAGAGCAGGCCCCATCCCAGCACACCCTTACTTAAAAACTTTCCATAGTAGTGCCTGTCCTGATGAAAGCTGTGTGCAGCGGCAGCCAAAAAAGCTAATGCAATCCTAAATTGCATTAACAGAGGGGTACAATCGAGATCAAGGGAGGTACTAATACCACTCTATAAAACCTTAGTAAGACCACGCCTAGAGGACTGCATCCAATTTGGTCATCACATTATAAAAAAAGATGTTGAGACTCTAGAAAAAGTGCAGAGAAGAGCAAGCAGGATGATGAGGGGACTGGAGGCTAAAACACACAGGGTGTTTCTCAACCTTGGATGGACTTCTACTCACAGAATCCCCCAGCCAGCCAGCATTAAAAGCTGGCTTGGTTTCAGATCACGACTTGACGTTAAATGGGGTCGCCCAAGATACAGAGATTTAGAGGGAGCACCCAAAAATGCCTTCCGCCCCCCAAGAGCCAAATGGACTTAGTTTTTCCTTGAAGACATTTCGCTTCTCACCCAAGAAGCTTCTTCAGTTCTGACTCAAGGGTGGAGAATGGAAGGATTTATATTCCATTCTCCACCCTTCTGTCAGAACCGAGGAAGCTTCTTGAATGAGAAGCGAAACGTCTTCAGGGGGGAAAAAAAAGTCCAGTTGCCTCTTGAATTGGGAGGGTGTGGGGAACACGTTTTGGACAACCAGGACCTGCGAGACCAAGTATCTCCATAGACGTTGAGAACCGTCTCTATTTGGGCCTGGACATTTTAGGAGCAGGAGGGGTGGGGCTAAGGGAGATCATCCAGACGGACGGAGGGTTGGCTTCTGTGCTGCCAAAGAACAGGCCCCTCTGCTGGCTAATTTACAAAGCAGCCCCATTGTACTCAGGGCCTCCTTGTCCACAACTCCTTGTGTTAATGTTCTGGGTGGCTTTTGTCCCCTGCATGAGGGGCGCATGCAGTGCGTGTTTGATTGATGTTCCCCTGGCTTGACTCACTTGGGGGGGGGGGGGCGCTTCCCTGTCAGCTGCTTCCTTGACGGGTCCTTTGTCTGCACAGCAGACCCCCTATAATCCTCCGGGATTTGCTCCATTCCAGCATTTTAATTCCTTAGCCAGACACAATCGCCATTACTAATACCACTCTATAAGGCCTGAGTAAGGCCACACCTAGAGTCCTGCATCCAGTTTTGGTCACCACACTATAAAAAAAGAGGTTGAGACTCTAGAAAGAGTGCAGGGAAGAGCACCCAGGAGGATTAAGGGGACTAAAACATATGAAGGACGATTGCAGGAACAGGGCCTGACTAGTCTAGGGAAGAGAAGGACCAGGAGAGACAGGAGAGCAGCCTTCCAATATTTGAAGGGAGAGGGAGAGAAAGGAAGGAAGGAAGGAAGGAAGGAAGGAAGGAAGGAAGGAAGGAGACAGAGTGAAAGAGAGAAAGAAAACAAAAAGGGATAGAAAGAGGGAGAGAGGAGAGAAGGAAAAAGGAAGGAAGGAGAGAAAGAAAGAGGGAGAGCAAGAGAGAGTGACTGGAGGCTGAAACATTCGATGAACCGTTGCAGGAACAGGGCCTGGCTCGTCTAGGGAAGAAAAGGACCAGGGGAGACAGGAGAGCAGCCTTCCAATATTTGAGGGGCTGCCATAAAGAGGAGGAAGGGGTCAAGCTATTTTCCAAAGCACCCAAATGCCAGACAAGGAATTATGGATGGAAACTGAACAAGGAGAGATTTAACCTGGAAATAAGGAGGAATTTTCTGACAGTGAGAACAATCAACCCATGGAACAGAAGTTGCCCTCGGAAGTTGTGGGAGCTTCATCACTTGAGACTTTCAAGAAGAGATTAGACTCCCATCTGTCCGAAATGGTGTAGAGTCTCCTGTTTGGTCTGGTTGGGGTTGGACTAGATCAGGGGTCACCAGCCTTTTGGACCTCAGAGACCACCAAACTCATAATTTTAAATCCCGTGGACCAGAGAAAGAAAGGGGGGGAAGGGAGGAAGGAAAAGAAAGGGAAAGGAAGGGAAGGAAGGAAAAAAGGAAGGGAAGGGAAGACGGAAGAAAGGAAAGGAAAGGAAGGGAGGGAGAATATTTATAGCCCAGGTTTAACATGAGCTGACTTGGTGCTCTCTGAGCGTGCTTGTTTTCTTGCAAACATTTCATTATCCAACTAGGTAACATCATCAGGGCTAGTACTGACTAGGACCTCTCGCGCACTTATTATATTTCCAGCCTTCTACCTCCTCCCTCCATTCATCCCTCCATCTCTCCCATTTGCTTCTTGCAACACACCCCACTCTTTTACTCCTTACCACCAGAAGACTAATTCAGTCTGCCCCAATCCAAGCACTGCCTGGTCATTTACCTCCAGCCCTTTGTCTCTCGCAAGCCATGGCTGAAAAAGCTACATCAGCTAACCCGTTTATGTCTTAGATCTATGAATATTTCGCTCGCCAGAGGAGACCCAACCTGGCAACCGGAGTTGAGGTTTGAGGAGATGGTTAGATCATTCAGAGAGGGTGTGGGAAGAGCAAGAGAGACAGAAGAGAGAGACAGACAGACAGACAGACAGACAGACAGACAGACAGAGTCACATACACACCCTCTTGTGGGCAATTGGAGGCAGTGTTCCTTCCAACTTGCCGGCTTCCAAGAAGTCAGTTAGGAACACAGACAGACACACAAACACACAAGGAGTTGAAATCCACCCACCGGACTTTAAAACTCCACATTACACCTGCTCTCTCGTTGGAATCCGATTTTCTGAACACCAGCCAGATTCATTACGCTGCGGGATCACTGCCGATTTCTCTCCTGGCGGGCGCTTTGATTGCTTAATTACCTCCGTATACATGGAAGATTTTAAAAAAAATAGATTGTCTTCTTACGACTTTAGTATTGTGGGAAGAGCTTTGAGTAGGAGATCATAGAAGCGGGTATTTTTTTCCCCCAATCCCAGTTATCACCTGCCCCTCCCTCCCTCCTTTCCCCTTCCCTCTTTTAATTATCTCATTTTAGCTATTTTTAATGCTTTTAATTCACGTAAAGGATTCAACTTGGAGGAGTGGGGAACGCTCCTTTCTCTCGTGACGGGAATGCTAGCGGATCAAACCAGTGGATATGAGCCAAAGGTGCTTTTTCAAGAGGCCACTGGATTTTCTTTTCTTTTTTTTTTCTTTGAATCCTTCTGATCTTTACCATCTAGTCAGAGTCGAAGAAGCTTCTTGGATGAGAAGCGAAACATCTTCAAAGAAAAAACAACAACCAGTGGCCTTTTGACAAAAAAAAAAAAAGCACCTTTGTGACAACCAGGACCTGGATGACGACAGGCTTTCAGTGGATATGGAAATGCAACTTTGACAAGGAAAGCCGACCCTGTCCTCCAGGTGTCAAAGCTCAATTTCATTGAGGGCCGCCTCAGGGTTGTGTTTGACCTCAGGGAGGCTGGGGTGCACATGGCCAGCTTGATGTCACTCATGCCTGGGGTGGCCTGAGTGGTCTGCCAGTGAAGTTGGGCTCCCGAGCTCCGTTTCCAGCTGCGACAGCCTCCTGCAATCCTCCACCAGCAAAACGGAACTTGGGAGGGCCTCGCACAGCCCTCCCGAGCTCCATTTTTGCTGGCAGAAATGGCATCGCAGGCCGGTCCTTTGCTGTTTCCAGGGAGGCCTCTCGGGCCAGATCTAAGCACCCTGCGGGCCAGATCCAACCCATGGGCCTTGAGTTTGACACCCCTGCTCCAAGGCATTAGGAATGGATTTTGCAAAATTTGTTTTCGTTTTTGTTTTCCTGTTCCCTCCAAGGGTTTTCCCTAACTTTCTCGGCTAACCTTGTGATCCCGCTCTCCTTCTCTTTCCCCCCAGGGAGAGCTGATCACCTTCTATTACTATTGGAAGAAAACCCCAGAAGCTGCCAGCTCCCGGGCTCACCGCAGGCATCGGCGACAGGCTGTCTTTCGGAGAATTAAAACCCGGACAGCTTCCACTCCGGTTAACACCCCCTCCAGGCCTCCTTCCAGCGAATTCTGTAAGTAGGAAGCCGAGAACATTGGGGTGGAGGTGGGATCGATTAGATGCATGGGGTCAAATAGAAAGTTGTGGTTTTCTCCACTGTGGGCTGGGCCCAGCTGTGACCCTGGAACTGTGCTCAGACCCTGTTCTGGCTTGTTGGCCACCGGCCCCTCCAGCAGCCGAATCAGAGGAGGAGGAGGAGGAAGTGTGGGAGTCAGGGTCAGCATCAAGTCCCCCATTCTGCAGACCCTGCACTCAAAAGGAGAAGGGCGATAGATATCCTGACTCAGTTTCTTTCTTTTTGTCCCCCCCTCCCTTTTTCTCCTCCCTCTCCCTCTCCTTCTCCCTCTCTTTCTCCATCTCCTCTCTCCCTCCCTTTTTCTCCCCTCTCCCTCTCCTTCTCCCTGTCTTTCTCCATCTCCTCTCTCCCTCCCTTTTTCTCTCCTCCTCCTCTCTCTCTCCCTCTCTGTCTCCTCTCTCTCCCTCCTTTCCCTCTTTCTCCTCTCTCCTCCTTTCTCTCCCTCTCTCTCTCCCTCTCTGTCTCCTTTCTCTCTTCCTCTCTGTCTCCTCTCTCTCCCTCTCCTTCTCTCCCTTTTTTTCCTCTCTCTCCTCCTTCACTCTCTCTCCTTCTCCCTTTTTCTCCTCTCTCTTCTCCTCTTTCTCTCTCTCTCTCTCTCTCTCCCTCACTTCCTTCTTAATTCCCCCTAGTGGATTTGAGTTCGGCCAGCGAAGATGATTTTGACAGCGAGGACAGCGAACAGGAGCTGAAGGGCTATGCATGTCGTCACTGCTTCACCACCAGTACGTATTTTTACCTGAGGGTGTGTGTGTGAGAGACCTGTGAGCCTCCCCTGGGTAGACCAGACAAAAAACAAATTCTGCTTTATTGTTACGGCTACATCAAGAGAATCTTGGCAGGGCGCGAAAGTACGAACCTCCCGCCCGTCTCTTTTACAGCCTGGGAAAGTTGGGAAGGTTCCCCTTGTGAGCCTCTTTTCTCCTCCACCCGTTGTGCAGCTGAGGGCGATGCCGCCTCTTATCAGGCCATTTCTTAGCATCTCTTCCTCTCTCTCCACCCTTCCTGTTTCACCCATCACCGGCCAGGCTGAATGGGCAGCTGCCAAAATTCGTAGCCAATACAAGTCGGGCTCCTTGGAATCCCGGGCCCCATTCATAAGAGAGATTTAAACGGGGGCGGGTGCTTCAGATTTGCGCGGTCTCTTTCCTTCCCCGGAGCCCTACAAGGCAGGCCAGCACTCCTCTTTTCCTAATTTTAATTTCATTTTTTTTTTTATTCTTTAAACATCTCTTTTTGAGTGAACAATGCGATTCCAGGTTTTGACATACACACATAATCATAATGACATTTTCAGCTTTCTTACCCATATCATTATTCCCTTTTCCAAGTAACACCCACCCAACGGAATCAAAACTCTCCAAGGCAGGCGTATCCCTCAAAGTATAGATTTATTAGGCATGTCGTATTGGCACATCTGGGGAAACCCCAACCAGGGGTGGGATTCAAACATCCCAGCGACCGGTTCGCTGCCCAGTTGCCGGGTGGGCGTGGCCTACCAGAACTTCCGTTTGGGCCGTTGTTTGCCTTCCCCAGGGCCTGGAGGCTTTCCTCGGGCCTCTCGGAGGGCAAAAACTCGCCTCCCCCAGGGTCCGGAGGGCCTCCAGAAGCCAGAAACGGGCCCACAGGCCCTGCGCTTACCTGCAGAGTTCAACTACTGGTTTGGCAAGAAATTTAACATCTGGTTCGCTTGAACCGGTCCGAACCGGTCGAATCCCACCCCTGAACCCGACTCTAAAGCCCCCCCCGGGTCCTACCCCCCCCCCCCCAGTTAAAAGTAGAATCTTCTTTCCCCTCCCCGTGTAATCCGTCACATGGTCCAATCAGGTCCCAGTCCAAAAGTCGTTTGGTCTCCGATCCCACCTCCGTGCACCTGGTGGGAAAGTCCTTGGTTCCCAGAAGAAAGAATTTTTATTACGGCAACAATCCCCATCATCGCTATCTCTTCCTCTCCTTTCCCCACAGCTCGACTCTCTTCTCGCTGTGGCAGCCCTGAAAGTGGCGGGGGGGGGGGGGGTGGCACCGGGGCCGACGCTCCCCTCCCCTCTGTGGCTCGTTCTGGGGGGGCTGGTGGCATCCTCCTCCCCCCCCACCCCATTTTTTTTTAACAGCCTCCAAGGACTGGCACCACGGGGGCCGGGAAAACATCCTCCTCTGCACGGACTGTCGGATCCACTTCAAGAAGTACGGAGAACTCCCTCCCATCGAGAAGCCGGTCGACCCACCACCCTTTATGTTCAAGCCGGTCAAAGAGGAAGATGACGGTCTCAGTGGAAAGCATAGCATGAGGACGAGAAGGAGTCGTGGCTCGGTAAGCCCATTTTTGCGATAAAGTAAGAGGATAACACAGTAGAAAGGGACGTTGGAGGTCTTCTAGTCCAACCCCCTCCTCAAGCAGGAAACATATACCATGCCAGAAGAATGGCTGTCTAGTTTCTTCTTAAAAACCTCCGGTGATGAATCTCTCACAACTTCCGAAGGCAACTTCTGTTCCATGGGTTGGTTGCTCTCACTGTCAGAAAGTTTCTCCTTATTTCCAGGTTGACTCTCTCCTTGTTCAGTTTCCACCCATTATTCCTTGTCTGGCCTTTGGGTACCTTGGAGAATAGCTTGACTCCCTCCTCCTCTCTGTGGCAGCCCCTCAAATCTTGGAAGGCTGCTCTCCTGTCTCCCCTGGTCCTTCTCTTCACCAGACTAGTCAAGCTCAGTTCCTGCAACCGTTCTTCATATGTTTTAGTCTCCAGTCCCCTAATCATCCTTGGTTGCTCTTCTCTGTACTTTTTCTAGAGTCTCGACATCTTTTTTATAATGTGATGACCAAAACTGGACGCGGTACTCCAGGTGTGGCCTTACTAAGGCTTTACAGAGTGGTATTAGTACCTCCCTTGATCTTGATTGTATCCCTCTGTTGATGCAATTTAGGATTGCATTAGCTTTTGGGGCTGCTCTCCCAGAGACCCCACTAAGTTTGGATCCTGACTTGAATTGTCCTTGATGGAGTCCCCACAGTCGCTTGAGCAATCCAAGGTGGCTTTCAGGGAGAATTAAAGTCCATTTATTTGCCTCGCCAGCCAAGATGAAGCTTCCCAGAAGCAGCCTTTGATCTTGCCTTTCTCTCTTTTTAACCAGCAGATGTCTACACTTCGCAGCGGTCGTAAGAAGCAACCCACCAGCCCAGACGGGAGGGCCTCGCCCATCAACGAGGACATCCGATCCAGCGGCCGTAACTCGCCCAGCGCGGCCAGCACGTCCAGTAACGATAGCAAAGCGGATTCAGTCAAGAAATCCACCAAAGTACGTTGTGTGACGAGAGTTTTGGCCTTCCTTCCCATCAGGGGTCAGGTCAGGTTGAGGCAGAAGACAAAAGGTTTGCCGATGGAGCTGGCCCTTCCCTATCCCTCTGAACCCTCCCTCAGCCTTCCACGGTTTTGCCGGCTTCCATTTAATCCCCTAGCTGGGATTCTGCGTCTTCTGGTGTCATCCTTTGGGTGTCAGGATGTGGCCCTATTTCAAACAGGACTCCGAGACAGATTCTCAAAGAACAGGTTTTTATTTTGGAGACCTCATCTTGGCATTAGCTGGTGGAAAGCCAACTCTGAGATTTCCCGCGCTTTCCACCTCATTCAAAACAAAAGTTTCACTTTCCCCAAAACAATCAATCACATTGTCCAATTCGGGCACTGGCTGGTTGCCTGCCCACTCCTTCCTCCGCCTCAGGCCGGCCGGCAGTTAGGATGTCCTTGACCTAGTGTGGTTAACCCCTGGTGTGGTTAGGCCTGAGTGTGAAGCCTTTGGGAGGCAAGATTCCCTGGCAAGCACTAGCCCTGTCCCTTCCCTTTAAACCATGTTGCTTTTTTTCCCCCCTTCTTTGGCAGAAGGCTAAGGAAGAGGTTTCTTCTCCTCTCAAGAGCTCCAAGAGGCAGCGAGAAAAGGCAGCGTCTGACAGCGAGGAGCCCGACCGCATCAATGCCAAGAAAACCAAAACCCAGGTGAGTTCCCTGGAGAAGAAGCCGCTGGCACTAGACTGGGGGTGGAAGCCACCTTGAAACCAGGGTTAAATTTTCAGATCCAGCCCCATGGCGGTCTTCCCAAAGGGCACCAGGGTGGGTTGGATTGTCCTTCAGGCTGTTGCTCTCCAGGGGTGACACGGTCTGATGGAAGCAAAGATGGCCTGGGATGGCTCCCCTCTGCCTCCATGGCAGCCCTCTGAAGCAGGGGTCACCCACCTTTTGGACCTCAGGGACCACCAAACTCATAATATTAAATCCCACGGATCAGAGACCCTGGGAAAATCCCCAAAAAAGTCTGCAGGAAAATTCCCCACCCCGTTTTCCTACTGATCGTTCTTTATTTGGGATCGCAGGATACCATCCCAAGCTCTGTTCTCAGGGGGAGAGAGACTTTTGGCTTCATGCAAGGAAAGCAGCAGAAGCAGCAGCAGTCTTTCTTTCTCTCCCCCAAACTCTGTCAGAAATGAGTCTTGGCCAGCACAGCCTCTTGGAGCAGGAGGCCTTGCAGGGTCCCAAAGACTCATTTCTGGCAGAGTTTGGGGGAGAGAAAGAAAGACTTTCACTGCTTTCTTTGCGTGCAGCCAAAAGCAGAAGAAGAGAGAAGCGGAAAGAAGCAGCCCGGTGGCCAGGCCAGGCAAGTGGGGCAAGTTCCCTCCTCCCCTCACTACCTTCTGTTGTTTGCAATGCAAGCGATGCAAGCCTTGTGTTCCCGCGCAGATTGGATTAATTGCTTTGGGGGTGACATTTCTCTGCGGATCACCGAAATTTTCTCACGGACCACCAGTGGTCCCCGGTCCATTGGTTGGCAACCCCTGCTCTGGAGGATCCAGTCTTCTGGCATGTCCTCCCCTCCTTCTCCCCCGCCGCAGGAGATCAGCCGTCCCAACTCGCCATCGGAGGGTGAAGGGGAGAGCTCCGACAGCCGCAGCGTGAACGACGAGGGCAGCAGCGACCCCAAAGACATCGACCAGGACAACCGCAGCACCTCGCCCAGCATCTCCAGCCCGCAGGACAATGAGAGCGACTCGGATTCCTCGGCCCAGCAGCAGCCGTCTCTCCAGACCCCCAACGGGCCGGCTCAGCCTCCGGGGCCCCTCCCAGCGCAGCTGCCCTCCTTACCGGCCGGCTCCAGCCTCCTCCCCTCTTCCAACGTCGTCCCGCACGACGTCTCCCCTCCGGGAGCTCAGCCCCCCAGCCAGCCTCTGGCCCCGGGCCTCTCTCATTCGCACATCCAGCAGGGCCCTTCGTTGCACCCGCCCAGGATGCCTTCCCCTCCCCACCCATCCCTGCAGCCGCTCGCTGGGGCTCCCGGCCAGCCCCCGCCACACCCTCAGCCGCCCCTCCACGGCCCGATCCAGGCCCTCCCACACGGCCTGCAAGCGCAGCCCCTCCTGGCCCACCCGGCCCCTGCGCAGCCCTTTGTCCTGCCTCCCCAGGCCTTGCCGGCCTCCGCTTCGCAGTCTCAGGGTCCTCTGCCTCCCCCAGCCCACCCTGCCCTGCAGGTCTCCTCCGGCCAAGTGCCCTCCTCGTCCCCCCTGTCTTCCCAGTGCCCCCGGGAGCAGCCCCTGCCCCCCGCCCCCATGGCCATGCCCCACATCAAGCCCCCGCCCACCACGCCCATCCCGCCTCTCCCCGCGCTCCCTTCCCACAAGCACCTCTCGGGTCCTTCGCCGTTCTCCATGAACTCCAACCTGCCTCCGCCACCGGCCCTGAAGCCACTCAGCTCCCTCTCCACCCACCACCCTCCCTCCGCGCACCCCCCTCCCCTGCAGTTGATGCCCCAGAGCCAGCCCCTGCAGCCGTCCCCCGCCCAGCCACCGGTCCTCACCCAGAGCCACCCGGCTCCTCCCCAGCCTTCTTTCGCCCAGCACCCCTTCGTCCCTGGGGGGCCGCCTCCCGCCACGCCGCCCTCCTGCCCGTCGACTTCCACGCCGCCCTCGGTGCCCAGCGTCCCGAGCCAGGGGGCTGTGCCCAGCTCGGCCTGCGGCGGAAATGTCCCCGTGGTGGCCCCCTGCACCATCCCCTCCATCCAGATTAAGGAGGAGGCGCCCGACGAGGTCGAGGAGCCCGAGAGCCCACCTCCTCCCACCCGGAGCCCCTCGCCAGAACCCACCGTGGTGGACACGCCGAGCCACGCCAGCCAGTCAGCGAGGTGAGCGGGCCATCTGGTGATTATTGCACCCTCTTCCCCCCCCCCCCAAGATTCATCCCCACCTAGCCCACCTTTTTAGCTGGAAAATTGATGGTTTGGGCAGGCTTAGATAGCAATAGTCCTTAGACTTATATGCTGCTTCACGGTGTTTTCCAGCCCTCTCTAAGCGGTTTACAGAGTCAGCCTTTTGCCCCCAACAATCTGGGTCCTCATTTTACCCACCTCGGAAGGATGGAAGGCTGAGTTCAACCTTGAGTCTGGTGAGATTTGAACTGCCAAATTGCAGGCATCCGGCAGTCAGCAGAAGCAGCCTGCAGTACTGCACTGTAACCACTGCGCCACCATGGCTCATTTGGAATGGGATGCGGATACAGCCCCTTGTGGAGTGTTCAGAAAACCATGGCTTAAATGTGGCTTAGTGCACCACAATATAAAATCTCAGGCACTTAACGATCAAGACTGAATAACCCGGAGAAAAACCGGTGAAGTAATACGCCCCCAATCGTTTTTCCAACTGGTGTCCCACTAGAGGGGGGAGGAAGGTTAACAGATCCCATCATCTCTAGCCAGCATGATGGGAAGTTTAGTTCCAAACCTCTAGTAAGAAGTATAGTAGTCTTGTGTATATATTGATGTTTAGAACAAGGAAAGCAATAAAAATAAAGACACGTTAACAATATTGTCAGTTTCAAAATAAAAATACAGCTTGGGTCCTAAAAGGGTTTGAAGCTTCATTTCCAAATCAGGGGAGGGAAAGCCAATTTCCTTTACTTAAATTATTTCTGGGTTTTATGCGTTCCTGGCTGTGGTTTGTTTCAGATCTGTGACAATCTCTCTTAATGCTCAGGATCCTGCTGCTTTTTCCCGCACCCATCATTTTCGTTAACTCATCCTCCTCTCCCGCCCTTCCCGCAGGTTTTACAAGCACCTGGACCGCGGCTACAACTCCTGCGGGAGGACGGATCTGTACTTCATGCCCCTGGCCGGCTCCAAGCTGGCGAAGAAGCGAGAAGAGGCGATCGAGAAAGCCAAGCGGGAAGCGGAGCAGAAAGCGAGAGAAGAGAGGGAACGGGAAAAAGAGAAGGAGAAGGAGAGGGAACGAGAACGGGAGCGTGAGAGAGAGGCCGAGAGGGTAGCGGTAGGTTTTGTCTTGTCTGTGAAGGGGGTGTGGTAGATTTGAATCAGACCCCCAAAAAGGAAGGGAGACCCACAACTTCTGAAAGTTTCACTCATTAGTTGTTCTCACTGTCAGAAAATTCCAGATTGCTTCTCTCCTTGCTTAGTTTCCATCCATTGCTTCTTGTCTTGCCTTCTGGTGCTTTGGAAAATAGGTTGACCCCCCTCTTCTTTGTGGCAGCCCCTCAAATATTGGAATACTGCTATCATGTCACCGCGTACTCCATCTTTTCTCTAGACTAGACATACCCAATTCCTGCAACCATTCCCCATATCTTGTTGTCTCCATGCCTTTAATCATCTTAGTCAGTACCTCCCATGGAAGAATTGGGAGGGTAGGTCTTGTGGCCGGCCAGCGGAGCTGGTGGCAGACTCGGACAGTGAGGAGGTTGGGGAGGAACATGGGCCAGTCCTGGAGTCTGGAGAAGGCTCTGAGGAGTGCTCTGCGTCGGAGGCAGAGATGGGGCCAGGGCCGTCCGACAGTTATCAACTGCCTTTGGAGTCGGAGATCAGTGGGGAAGAAGAGCAGCTGGAGCCTGTTCCCAGTGTGCACAGGCACAGAGCTGCCAGGAGAAGGGAACAGTTAAGGAACAAGGGTCGACTCGGGAGTAGAAGCACAGGTGGATGGTGAATGGCCCCTCCCATGGGGAATAAAGAGCGAAAGGGGAGTGGTGTTTGCAGGAGAAAAATTAGTTCGTTTAATTAGGGTGAAGATCTGTTCATGACTCCTTGCCAAGTATTTTCTAGTACAGCGTTGCGCTTGGAAGCTATCGGCCTGGCAATTCTCCAAGCCTGATAAGGTCTGTGTTTGCAATTCAACCTTGAAAGACTTTGTGCCGGGACTTTGCTGGATGTGAATGAGAGGAATTCACGTTAGCCTCAATAAAAGGGGTTTTGTCCGTATGAGGAATCTGCTTTGTAGTTTTGTGAAGCCTAGATCAGAACAGCAGGAAACATCTGGGCTGGGGTTTTCTTTTGGACTTTGCCCTGAGTCTCTCTCTCTCTCTCTCGTTCCTCCTGCAGAAAGCGTCCAGTTCCTCCCACGACGGTCGTCTCGGAGAATCTCAGCTGAGCGGCCCGGCGCACATGAGGCCATCCTTCGAGCCGCCCCCCACCACCATCGCGGCCGTGCCCCCTTACATCGGCCCGGACACCCCAGCCCTACGGACGCTGAGCGAGTACGCGCGTCCCCACGTCATGTCCCCCACCAACCGGAACCACCCTTTCTTCGTTCCCCTCAACCCCGCTGACCCGCTTTTGGCCTACCACATGCCGGGCCTCTACAACGTGGACCCCACCCTCCGGGAGCGGGAGCTGCGGGAGCGGGAGCTGCGGGAACGGGAGATCCGGGAGCGGGAGCTGCGGGAGAGGATGAAGCCGGGCTTCGAGGTGAAGCCTCCCGAGCTGGACGCCCTCCACCCGGCCACCAACCCCATGGAGCACTTTGCCCGTCACGGAGCCCTCACCCTCCCCCCGACTGCAGGCCCTCACCCCTTCGCGTCCTTCCACCCTGGGCTTAACCCTCTGGAGAGGGAGAGACTCGCTTTAGCCGGCCCGCAGTTACGGCCCGAAATGAGCTACCCGGACAGACTGGCTGCCGAGAGGATCCACGCCGAGCGCATGGCGTCCCTCACCAACGATCCCTTGGCCCGGCTCCAGATGTTCAACGTGACGCCCCACCACCACCAACATTCCCACATCCATTCCCACCTGCATCTCCACCAACAGGACCCACTACATCAAGGTGAGGCTTCCAAGCACCGTTCCCTGGGCTGGGACTGTCCCAGGGCCAGGAGGTTTATTCTTGGGTGGGCAAAGAACTGCCACATCGGGATGAGTTGGGTTGTCACGTCTCTCCCAGCCTCTCTCCCCCTTTCTCTCTCTCTCTCCCAGCCACTCTCTCCCCCCTTCCCACTGGGTGTGTCATAAATCAGATTCTCCAATTGAGCACCTTCACAGACTGTGTGTCATCAATCACGTTCTCCAATTAGATATATTCCTGGGCAAAAGCTCTGGTATTTTCGTTACAATCTTTTCAAGAGAAGAGTTGGAATGTACTTTTGTTTTCAACTGCTCTTCCAGATTTCTTCCCCACCCCCCCGCCTTTTCTTTTTAAAGGCAACTATTAAAACAGGCATAGGAATGTTTGATGAGTTGACACAGTTTACAACGGCATTGGAGGTGGGGGAGGGCTTACGGCCGTTTTTCACACTTAACCATTGCACCATCCCAAGGGCCAGGTGATCAACTGGCTCATACTTAGGACGGCCGCAGCATCCCGGGGTCGCACGATCCCCTTTTGCGACCTTCGGACAAGCACAGACCATGGGGAAGCCAGATTCACTTAACAATAAAAGTTACTGACTTAGCAACTGCAAGGATTCACTTAACAACAAAAGTGGCAAGGGAGGTCGTAAAATGAGCAACTATGAGTTTTTTGGGGGGCTCAATTTTAGCCATTAATCAAGTACCGCCTATATTTAAGGGATTCAGATTTTGCTTCTCAGAAATCCATTCCGGGAGACGTTCTGCTAGCTGCAGCATCTTCTGTCAGGACTCCCAACAAATCCTGCCCCCATTCAAATCATAAGTCTCTAGCCACATCGCTCGGAGAAAAAAAAATTGATTTATTAGAAGTGGCCATATTGGCGTTGGCTGGATGCAGCCGATACTAAAATACATCATTCATTTCCCCCTTGACCCTGGTCTTCCCACCCCCTGGATGTATATTCTCCAATGGGACACATCCATAGCCAAGAGTCATCAATCATGCTCTCCAATAATAATCTTGCGTGCCAACAGCTTTGGCTGCCTAGCAAATATCTGAAGCATTTAAGGAATGCACTGCTTTCCCCTACTCCCTTTTTGCTGGCAACTAAAAAGACGAAAGGAGTATCTTTTTAGTTGACATCTTCCTTCCTATCTAAATCCGGCTTTAACGACTAGATTCCCCCAACATATAAACCCCAAAATGTCTCAGGCCCGTTAGGCCAAACCACAAAATTGGTGTCCCCCCCCCCCCCTTTTTTTTTTTTGCCAAGGATGCTCCCCAGATATCTCTGTGGCCTCCTCTTCCCTTGAGCTCCATGCAGAGTCTTCTTCATTTTACCCACTGAGGAAGTTAGCCCAAAGTTTGAGGGAGGGGGGCAGGCGAAGCAAAACACTTTCCCGGGAATGCTGGAGGTAGGGACAAAGGAATGGGGCAATAACAGACAGAGGTGCCCAGGAGTTCTGAGCAGGAGGGAGACATGATCCTTGCAAGTTTCCAAGGATGAGGTCTGATGCTTCTAATTTTTCCAGGGGGAATGGGGGAGTCCTGCTTCTGTCGGTCAGTTTGGGCTCTTAAGTTTTGCTTGGTGCTTTTGATACTTTTGGTCACCACGCTATAAAAAAGATGTTGAGGCTTTAGAAAAAGTGGAGAGGAGCAACCAGGATGCTGAGGGGAAGAAGAAAGAAAGAAAGAAAAGGAAGGAAGGAAGGAAGGAAGGAAGGAAGGAAGGAAGAAGAAGAAGAAAGAAAAGAAAGAAAAAAAGAAAGAAAAATATTTGTAGCTCAGGGTTGAAAGGAGGGATCCGTGGTGCTCTCTGAGCTTGGTGGTTTTCTTGCAGATGTTTCATTACCAAACTAGGGAACATCATCAGTGCTAGTAAGGAGTAGGGCTTGCTCTCAGTTTATATTCTGGTGGCTTGCTTAGCAACTTAGAAATGTCAAGCTCCATTGCGGCCGTAAATTGGGGACTATGTGTAATAAGGATGATTTTGATCTGGGTTGGAAATTAAGAGTTTCTAAACAGCAGGTGGTAATTCCTCCTTCTCCACCCCCAACCCCTCTTTCTCCTGCCCCCCTCCCCCTCCCCCTTTTGCAGGCTCAGCCGGACCTGTTCACCCCCTCGTGGACCCTCTAGCCGCCGGACCACACTTGGCCCGCTTCCCTTACCCTCCCGGTACCATCCCCAACCCGTTGCTAGGACAGCCGTCTCACGAGCATGAAATGCTGCGGCATCCAGTCTTCGGTGAGTGGGGGACAGGGGTGCCAACTGCCGGGGTTCACACAACACACCCACCTGCCCCATCAGGCCAGCCACGTTAGCTCAGCTGCCTTTGGAGTCGGACAGCAGTGAGGCGGAGGAGCAGCTGGAGCCGGTTCCCAGCCTCCGCATGCGCAGAGCTGCCAAAAGAAAAGAAAAATTACGAACTAAGGGTCGACATGGGAGTAAAGCCACAGTTGGATGGTGAATGGCCCCTCCGATAGGGATTAAAAGAGGAGTCAAAGGGGAGTGAGGTGTGCAGGAGACAGTTAGTTCCATTCATTAGAGTGAAGATCTGTTCCTGACTTCTTACCAAGTAATTGCTGCTACAGCATGGTGTTTGGAAGGTATCGGCCTGGCAACACTCTAAGCCTCAATGGCCCCTCCCATAGGGATTAAAAGAGGAGCAAAAAGGGAGGGGGCTTTTGGCAGGAAACAATTCATTCGTTGCAGCAGATCTGGCTGTGCATCTCAGAGTCTCTGTGCCGAGTCCTTCCTTGTCAGCACTGCATTTGGAAATATTTGCTTGGCAGCTCTGCAAGCTAGATAAGGTCCATGCTCCTAATTACCCCCTTGAAAGACTGTTTGCCAGGCCTTTGGCTGAATGTGAATGCAAGGAATTCACCTTCGATTAATAAAAGGGGTTTTGCCGGGACAAAGAGTCTGCTTAATGCTTTTTGGGGAAGCCGAGGTCGGAACACAAATCTTCGCCCAACTGGAGCCATCCCCCCGCAGTCACTCCCCTCCAGGTGCAGAGCAACATGTCCTTGACTCTGAGAAAAAATGTTGTTGTGTCTAATCTTCTACCCAACTACGAAATTCCCCCTCCCAGATTCCCAGGCACCGAATGTGGCGGCTTCGAAGCTTCCAAGGCTGACGCTCTCCCTCTTTTTCCCAGGTGCCCCCTACCCACGTGACCTCCCCGGTGCCATCCCTCCTCCCATGTCGGCAGCCCATCAGTTACAAGCTATGCACGCCCAGTCGGCAGAACTTCAGCGACTCGCCATGGAGCAGCAGTGGCTTCACGGGCACCCCCACATCCACGGGGGCCATCTTCCCAGCCAAGAAGACTATTATAGGTAAAGGGGCGCCTGCGTGGGGCACACCCACCCCGCTCCCTGGCCGCTTCCAAAAAGAGGCCTTCCCCCCCACCCCCTTCTCCCCTCTGCTTTCTTTTCACTTCCTGCTTTTTTCTTCTTCTTTTTCCAGCCGCCTGAAGAAAGAGGGCGACAAGCAGTTGTAATACCTTATTTATTTGTGACGCTGACTACTCAAGTTCCTAGTCCTCGAGGGGGAGCAGTGGAATGTGTTTAATCTCAAGAACTGCTGACAAGCAAAAAGAAAAAAAAACCGAATTCTCTTCCGGAGAGGACATTTTTCTCTCTTTTTCACACGGAAAAAAAACAACAACACACAGCAGCCCCAAGCCCATAACGTTTCGCCCGAAAGCCCAGACCTCACGAGACGTGAATCGGTGCATATGTTCTATATAGTATTCATTTGTAGGAAACATTTCTCTAAGACCAGTTCAGGAGTCTCCTTGCATGACTAAACCTGTTAAAAGGCCTTTTTTTTTTTTGGTTCTTGGTTTTTGTTTTTTTTTTGGGAATGGGAAGAGGAGAAACAAAACAGAACCGGAGAGAAATTAATCCAAATAATTTCCTCAGGCGATCTTGGGGACTATTGGTTTGGTATGTTTTGGCCGTTGGGTATTCTTTTGATTATTTTATTTTCATTTTGAGTAGGTGCTAGTTTCAGGTTCACAACCTCTAATGCCAGCCACTGGTGCATACACACACACATACACACACACACACACACAAACATATATATATATATACTTACAAAAACAAAAAAAACCTGAGAATTGCAAGTAGTGGCTTTACAACCTCTGAAAAAAAATCCAAGTGCTATAATAAGAATTTTAGAAAAGAAAAAAAAATCTACTTTTATTTTAATACATTGTAGGCAAACTTCATAATTTTAAAAGAGAGCTTTGCAAGCATGGCTTTTTAAGTCTGTAAATAACTTTTGGGGAGGGGTTAGCAGTTTTTAAAAAGATGATTATAATTTCATGAATTTTCCTGATTATTAATATTATTTTTTTTGCCTCTTCTTCTCCAGCCCCAACTCCTTCCTCATCATAAAATCACCTTTACTTCTTAACCCGGTGTTCACAAGAATATAAACTTGATTTTTTTAAACAAATAAGAGGAATATATATAAGCGGACCCTTTGATTCATGAAAAGGGAACAGCATAGTTAATTTCAGAACGGCTGGTGGGAGCTCAAGCATTAAAAAAAAGTTGCAGGGATAATAATATTTTTAAAAAGTGGGGGTTTTTTTTTGCACACACATTACGTGTGCAAGGTTCTTTATTTAAATACTTTCGTTCCGTAAAACGTTCTCCTTGTTCTTCCTACAGTAGCTGGTTGTGTTACAAAACAGTTGTTTGAGCTGGAAGTCACATCTCTCTTTCAGATTGTGGGTACATCACCTCGTCTCCAGGTGTGTCTTTACATATTACACTCCTTTTCCTGATTTTATTTTATTTTTTAAAATCCCAACAACGTAGGGACATTTGAAGTATTTTTTGCCTTTCTTAGTTTTGGGCCTGTGGATCGTTTCAGCCAGCCCATAAATTTAAATCTCAGTAATTTGAGAGAAGCTAAAAAAATGGAGCGGTAGGTTATGCAAAATGCAGTTTTTTCTGGGCTGGCTGTAAATATCATTTTAAGTCGTCCGTGGACACAGTTGTGCAAGCAAATTTCTCTCTACCCCTCTAGCCTCAGTTTATCCTCTGGGTTGTGTTGGGAAGAGGGGTAAAAATCAGAATTTTGGCAACACTCAGGAACGGTTTGGCTTTTTCGCAAGAACATTCACGCTGGCGTCCCAACTAAGTTGGGATCACGCTGAAATCTTCACCCTTTCCACGTCAGACAAACTATTAAATTGGGAGGCGATAACGAAATATGTTTCACCTGTTCCCTTTTCGTTGCTCCTATCAGAGGCCTTTGCTGTGCCGTGTATCTCCCCTCCCTCTTATTTTTTTGGGGGGAAGCCAAGAGTTCTGGTGCAAAGGCCATTTTAAAAATAAAGCCACCTGTTTTCTCTCCATCCTTCAACATCCCCCTCCTGAGCAGTTTGCAGCCTCCTTTTCACTCTAAAGGTTAAAATAAAAAAATTCCCAGCAACAACCTGCATCTCGGTTTCACAGGATAGATTTAGCTTGGCTCGGGGATCATACCCAGCCCGGAATTAAACCTCAATCCACATTGGAGATCTGATGGTCCTGCCTGTCTTAATGCAAAGATGGAAAAACAGTTGAATTCATCCTTCAGGGGAAGAGAATGGGATTGAGAAGCAGGAAAAGCATTTATTTTTATTTTTATTTTTTTGCAAGACAGATGCAAACAAAAAAACCAACAATGTATTTTTTTCCCCCACCGACGAGCAAGACAAACTAAAAAGAAGTGGAGGAATCTTGAAAAGTTCAGCCGCTTTTCTGGAGTGGAAAACACTAAAGGAAAAAAAAAAAAGCAGAATAGCTCCCCATAATTGTGAAGATTTTTCTTCCGTTGCAAGAGAAAAGTAAAATCTATCAACAGGTAAACCTCAAGTCTTCAGGGATCTACCCGAGTGTAAGATCCCTGTTTGGGGAAACTCGGACAACAGAAGTTGCATTCTCAAGTCAAAGATCAGCCTGTTGAACTCCCACCAATCTCCCTTCTTTTTCCTCCTTAATTTTCCAGTTAATATTTTGAATCATTCCAGGGTGGGGAAATCTTTTAACTCACAGTGTTATGTCTTCCCAATCTCCTTCCTCCTGTTGCAATTGCCTGATATTTTCTTTGTGGTTTTTAACACTTCTCAGTTTTTGGTTTTTGTTTTGTTTCAACAACACATTTCTTTTTTTCTCTTGTTCTGGTTGCCCACTCTCCTACTTTGGGGCGGGTAATTATTTTTGTTGGTTTGTTTTATTTCACCAACCCTGTCTCTTGTTCAGTGTTGTCCTTATTCAAGCTCTCCCTTCTGACAACTACGTTTATATATATCTTGAGGCTTAGTGTATATATGAGTAGTTCGCCATGGGATAACACAGTGTAAAGCAGGATATAGAAAAACCCAGGAGTTGTGAATTCTGTGTTCTCTCCATTTGAGTATTTTGTAATTTTTTTGAAATATTTGTGGACATAAATAAAAACCGAGCTACACTACCTGCCCTTTTTGCCTTTTCTTTGTACGTGTGTATGTGGGGAGAGGGGGGGAGTTGAGGGTGTGTAAAACCTGGAGATCACACACGAAGGAGGCCGTTTGCACTTCCGACACCCATTTTGTCCACAGTTAAGAAGCAAACCAGCAGCCAAGGTAAAAGGGTTTTTAGAAGGGATGATGGATGGTTTTGAGCTGGCAAATATTCTGAAAATAATAATCTCCAGGATGCTTAAGAGTCCTGTTTGGAGAGAAATGGGGAGTTTAGATGTGTTTAGAAATGGGGGGTTGGAAATCAACACTTTTTTCCCCTTCTTTTTCCCCTTCTTTTCTATACTTCCCCCTTCCCCTCCCTTATTTTTCCTATTTGCTTTTGTATTTAAAATTATAAACTAATAACAACTGGAAACAATGAAGAAACGGGGGTATTTGAGGCTGCCCCTTGGTTGAAATGTCAAAACACTTGTGATGTATAAAAATCTCCCTCCCCAGATCTACTCTAGAGCTTGCAATCTGCACTATTTTTATTTCAATGCAATTTATTTAGATATTATATTTTAAAACTGCCCATTTCCCTGGGAGTGCAGAGTGAATAAGTTTTTGAGGGCCAGTGCAAGCTCGCCCTGTTCCCAAATGGCAGCTTAAAATAATGATATTTTTCTTAATTTATCAGACCCAAACACCCTAAGTCTGCATGCCCCTGATTGAAACTGCCTGTATCCTAAGACACTACTTTAATTTTACTTGTTTGTTTGTTTCTTAGATTTATTGGCTGCCCGTCTTAACCACAGGGTAACTCTTAATCCTTGTTAGGTCCTGGTTTCAGATTTGAATCCTTAATATATTTTTTTCGCCCGTAGGTTACCTATATAAGAGTTTACAACCAGTTAACAAAAATAGGGGTTCTTGCCTAAGCAGGGGGGTTGGACTAGAGGACCTCCCAAGGTCTCTTCCAACCCCCTTACTGTATTTTAAAATGCCAGAGGTGCAATCTAAACATCTGACTGGACAATTGACCATCATATCAGTTGTCCAGGCCTTCCCCCCTGTCTTTAGCCTTTCTGAGAGCTTTGGACTATACCACCCCCGCCACCCATAATCCCCAGCTACCCAGGAACCCAAAGGCCACTCCAGGCCAAGCTCCTCCCTCCATCCCAAGCAGCTGCGGAATTCTGGGAGTTGAAGTCCACATGCCTTAAAAGTGGCCATTTTGAAAAACGCTCCTTGAGCTGCCCTTTTTTTTTAACCATTAGAACACTAGAGGGCGCACTTGCTCCATTGGCCCCGCCCCTTCTCCAGGGTCCTCCCCCCCTCCCCTCAGGTGCAAGGCACAGGTGAGGCCCGTTCCTTTGATGAAGGCCAGGCCACCAAACGCCTCAGGCGCCAGCCAAAGGCCCTGTTTGGGGCCCGCTTTGGCTCCTGCTGAGCCCGGTCGGCCCTCAAACTCTTGGGGGTACGTGAGGCGCCTCACGGGGGGTGATTCCGGGCCCTCATTGGGGCCTCCTCCCTCAAAAGGGGCTTTGGGGAAGTGGGGGGCTGCCTTTACCTCACAACCCCGCAAGGCAAAGCCCGGCATGAGCTCGCAGAAGAGGGCTGGGCCACAGAGAGGAGGCCCCAGGCCTGGCAGTAGTAAGGACAATGAGGACTAGTAACACCCAGGCACAGGCCATTAACCTGGTTTAGGGCTTATTAAGAGCGGGCAGCTTGTTCAGTCGCCATTATGGGTTGAAAGGACAGACGGGGAGGGGATGAGGGACTTGTCTGCCTCTGTATGTGTGTGTGTGTGTGTGTGTGAGGGAGGGAGAGAGAGAGTTAATTTTATGTATTTATTTTGTGCCTTGTTTTTACAAATAATTCAAGATGGCAAACATATCCAAACAGACACCTCCCTCATAGTTTCCCAACAACAACAACCCTGTGAGGTGGGCTAGGCTGAAAGAGAGAGAGAGAGAAGCGGGAGTGGGGAGAACTGGCCCAAAGTCACCCAGTCAGCTTTCCTGGCTAAGGCGGGATTTGAACTCGCCATCTCCTGGCTTTCTAGTCTGGTGCCTTAATTAACAAACTAGACCAAACCGGCTCTCTGGCCCTGGGGCTTATTATGCCTGCTTTATTATTTCGTTTTATTAAACTGGGCTGGTTGTTTATTATGCCTTGGAGTTGGTCTTGGAGGCCTTCCTTGCAGTTCTGGGTTTGTTTATGCCCAGCAAAACTGTCACTCGGGACCAATCTCACTTCAGCCATCTGCAGCCGCCCTTTCCAGTATCAAGCATCTGGAAGGCTACCACCCCCTCCCCTGAATTGTGTCTGTGTGTGCCTGATCCTTGTGAGTGCATACACACACACACACACACACACACACACACACACACACACACACA